CAAATACTAATGTTCTAATTTATTACATTGTAATAAGTTATAACCATGGAATATTAGTGTTTGCGCATTTTAAATTATATTCTTACTCGGTCATGGACATTGAGCTCTACCTGGATTTTATCCCCTTATATATATATATATATATATATATATATATATATATATATATATATATATATATATATATATATATATATATATATATATATATATATATATATATATAGATATATTCTTCGCAGTCGCAGATGCGAATTGAGTCACTGTCGGTCACTTTCACCTACCGTGCGCCGACGGCTTGATGGTTAGAATCTCCGACTGACATTAATTCAGTCGGCTTTCGATCGTGGCTAGAGGCAACCGGATGTCTAGCCACATTGATGAGCTGCGAAACCGTCTGTCTGTGGATGATATTATATATATATATATATATATATATATATATATATATATATATATATATATATATATATATATATATATATATATATATATATATATATATATATATATATATACACACATATATATATTTTGACCACTAATAATATATTCCACAGAATTTAAATGTGGCTTTGAAAATGGCGGGACGCATTTTTTAAAGGGATCTTTTTTGTCCAACTCTTCAGAAATTTTTGTTGAAACCGCAGTAATCAAAACATCACAACTGAATAGATAGACACGCGGGGTAAATAAGAAGCCACAATTTAAAAAAAACAAACAAAAAACAATATATTTATATATATATGTGTGTGTGTGTGTGTGTATGTGTGTGTGTGTGTGTGAGTGAAATAAAAGAAACATATAAAAGGAAAAATTTTATACGGTTGTTTTACGAACATTATCAAGGCACTTGTAACAATTTTATTTCATAACCTCAATTTGTACGCTGAAGTAAAGCAGAGAAAAATAAAATACGTTTTAGCTTTCAAATTCTGAATTAGAAAAAGGTCAAAATAATATAAAACCTCACTGTGTAAGAAAAGGTAAACTATGAAAGAATCTTAGTGGCGTATTTTTTCGCTTTATTAAATGTAAAATTATATGTTTATTAAAATTCAATAATTTGGTTAGTATTTTTTTCATAGTCTTCATTGATATTTATTTATTTTTATGTATTTTTATTTTTTGTGTTTTTCTGATTTCTTTTATTTAATTCACTTAATTATTTAAATTTGAATTTATAATGTTCATGCCTTAACTGTTTTTTTTTTTTTTACTATGTATACTTGACAAGAAAGCATTTCTTTTAAGAAAGGAGATATTTGAAAGATTCCAAGTCGTATATATATCTATGCAGGATCATAATAATATTCAACCGTAGAAAGTGAACGGTTAGCGCATATAAATAGGAACGAAAATTCAAATCATACCGCGGGGCACATTTTCTTTAGTAAGTTTTCTCGTGTTAGCAGGCCGGTCGACGAAATAAACATATTTTCAAATAAAAACGGATTTTCTACTAAATTCAGGAGGTGTCCACTAAAATAATTCTTGAAGTAATATATATATATATATATATATATATATATATATATATATATATATATATATATTGTTTGCGACGATGGGTTTCTCGCCAATTAAATCATTAACCTTTTGTATTTGTTTTGTATGAATAATTCATGAATTTGTAAATTGATTGCACCTTTTATTGAAATATAATAACTGATCCAAGTGCAACTTTTGGATAATAAGTGCGACATTACTGTAATTATTGAACAATATAGTTCATGCCACTTTGACAGAAAATTTACCAGTAAAAAAGAATTCGCTTATCACCATATTTGTACAAGAACGCACAATTGTAAAATTTAAAATCAAACTCAGCGTTGCTACTGCACGCTCCAAAAACAATAACTCATTTCTAATAGCATTTTTCGGATACAACAATACATATATTTTTGTTGTCCTCTTATTATTGAGAGAAAAAAAAAGAACAACATCTATTCCATACCTGAAGATGTCTGTAGGAACAGACGAAAGCTTGTAGTAAAAATAAGAACTAATGCAAGAGAAATTTATAAAAACAAAGATCTTTTCATTCATAACAGGTTCGCGGTTTTTTTGTATATTATTTGAATTGTTCGCGACGATGGATTTCTCGCCAATTAAATCATTAACCTTTGTATTTGAGTGAGCGGCTTGCTGAGAGTAGTCGTGGCTCCAGGGGGCACAGTCCTATGGTTACAGAGAACTCAGTAGAGTTCCACCACGGAATATGTGAGCGAGTGGCGCTATATTGAGTCTGATTTGCAATCTCTTCATCACCGAGGCCCATTTGGAACAGTTGGTATGATGTTTGCTTGACAACCTAACTGTCCAGGGTTTCAATTCTCGGTAGTGGATGCGCACTGCTGATGAGTCCCAAATATAGGACGAAACGGCCGTCCAGTGCTTTCTGCATTCTGATGAGGTTTCTATCAGACTCGATGAATTAATTAAATATAATTATCAAATCCTCCTAGTAATTTCTATATATATATATATATATATATATATATATATACGTATCGTGATTACGATCCAAATGTAACAAATGGACTGTGATTACGATTCCAGTGTAATAATTTATAACCATGGAATATATATTTGTTCCCGGTATTCCGGTTGAGCGCTTTAGGGAAAAAGATGGTTTTAGAAAAAAGCGGCTCCTACTGCTATTAAGCATTACTCTACAAGTAAAATTGAATTGATTCATCGAGTCTGAATTGAGTTTTATGAGCTGCGGGAACTAGAGTACTTCGTATAGAGAAAAACGTTAAAATTCCCTTTCTACCCTACCGTATGACTATTGTCTAGAGGTAAGAGATCTGACTGATGACATAATCAGTAGGGTTTATGCTCCTGGGTTGAAGCGTCTAGCCATACTGAGGAGCTGTGATACAGCGAAACAGTCTGTCTGTAGATGACTATGTATCTTACTTTTCAGGATGTTAGCAATCATGATTTTACACACATCCTTTTCTTTTATATCTTACTTTCCATATTAGTTCCATCAAACATTGCAAACATCCTTCATTTTTTCTTCTGATCTAACGCTCTTTCTGTAAAGAAATGCAAAACATATTTGGCTGTTGGAGAAAAGCGATAATTTGACTCGGAACATTGCCACTTTAAACGTAGCATTTAATTAAGCAGAGTCTGTCTATATTTCTCAAGGACACATGGCACAGTGGATAAAGGCTTTGTTTAGATCCGGTGACAGACCCAAAGAAGGTGAGTTCAATTCCTGGTTAAGGCAGTGGAGAACTTTCAGAGGGAAAATTAGCAGGAGATTACTGATAACTGACATCCATCAAACATGGCACGTGGAACTAGAACAGTATACCCCAGTGATCGAAATAAAGGGTTCAGTTCGAAATTCCAACCACCTGAAGAAGGCCGGAGCGTACAACGGCCGAAACGTTGTGACAAATATGGCGACAAAGATGAGGACAATAGTCCGACTAATGTAAATACTGTTAATTAAGCAGGTTTTGCCATTCATTCACTATAGCCTGCCTTGTAAAGGAAGAAAGGGGTTTATCTGTAGTCAGGAATGTATGAGAACAAATCAGATGATACGAGTAGGATAACGTTTGGTAGCCCGAAAAAAATAAAATCAGCGGGCAGAGAATAAGTTCCGGGTTTAGACATATTATGCCAGCAATGGTCCATTTTTGGTCTGATCTAGCTCTTGAAAAGTTCAAAGAATAAAAGAAACGAGACTGACACTGGAGATTGCAACTTTCCCATTGCACTATTAGAGAAAAAAAACGCTCCTTAATCGATTTGGCATCTTCATTGCACTGGAAACAGAGAGTGAAACTTAATTTCCCCACAATTACGCATGCCAGGCACCACATGAAATGCGTTTCATGTTTTAGTATCGTTAGGAGGTAAATAAAGAGAGGATATATATATATATCAACCTTCATACAGAACCGTCATTTAATTGGATTTTGTTAAGTGTCAGAAGATTAAAATTGACGAAGTTCAGATTTTGGTCATGAAATTGGGATTGGCACTAAGGATAGAAATGTGATTTCTATCAAACAAAGGAAGAGCTTTTGGATTTGTTTAGACAACAAAACAGACACTAGAAAACCCAAAGATTTAAATATTAATTAATATTGCACTTGCGATATCACGTCGTTGCTGCATCGAAATTTTGAAATAAAATTAGATGCAATTTAATATTTAGAAAACAATCTATAAATCATTTATAATTTATAAATAACGCTCCGAAACCTGCAAATGACATGTTAAAATTCTAATTGCAACAATAAGAAAGTTTTGTAATTAAATAGAATATTTAATAAACATGCTATTTGTCAATAAATCTTATTTGTATAATTTCATTGTAACCTTTAATTTCCCTGAGCGAAATTCCGTCATGTTTAAGCGGGAAAATTTTAAGCAGACAAAACATCAGAAAACAAAAATTCAAAAAGTGATACAAAAGGTTATCGTTTTCTCTCTTACTCTTTTTATATCTTTAACATTTTAGCCTTGAAGTTCATGCCTCTAGCACTAGATATTCAAGAATATTCTCACAGAAAGCGCTATCTTTACTTATCTCTTCTCAGATAATATCTATCTACCTATCTATCTATCTATCTATCTATCTATCTATCTATCTAGGCATAAATATATTGAAAAAAATAGATATAAACAGACTGAGATAGCAATTAACAGAGATAGGTACGAAGTGAGAGAAATAGCAATGAACAGAATGGAAATGATATGAACAGACTGCGATAGGAATTAGCAGACTCTAATGACAATTAACAGAGACTATGATAGATAGCTATGAACAAACTGAGATACTTATGAAAAGACTGAGACAGCTATGGACATAGCTAGAGGCTGAGATTGCGATAACTAAGAATAGAATGAGATAAATAGGAACAGAACCAGACTGATATGAACAGAATTGGATGACAGTTAACAAACAACGATAGATAGCTATGAACACACTGAGACTGAAACAGCTATGGACGGAGACAGCGTGATAATTATGATAGATATAAACAGACTGGAATAGATTGGTAGCTGTGGAATGCCTGAGATAGTACACTGAACGAGCCACTGGCAGACATAGATAGATAGATAGATAGATAGATAGATAGATAGATAGATAGATAGATAGATAGATTTGAACAGACTAGATATCGAGTAATATATCTATAAAGATATCTATATAGTAGATATCTATAAAGATACGTACGGACAGAATGAGATAGACATAGATAGACTCAGATAGATATAGACAGACTGGAATAGATAGATATGGAGATAGATAGATACATAGATAGCGAGAGAGAGAGATTTGAACAGACTGAGATAGGTTACTATAAAGATAGGTACGAACCGAATGACATAGACATAGACATAGATAGATAGATAGATAGATAGATAGATAGATAGATAGATAGATAGATAGATAGATAGATAGATAGTGTTGTAACCTCGGACAAGGTTACTGAATAAGAATAACCAAAACGAAGGTTAGAATTGGAACGGTAATCTTTATAACATTAACAACATAAAAGATTCGCCAGCCGCGTGTAGTAAGTAACCAACGGCTAGTGGTGAACTAGAAGTCAATCAAGGTTAATCGCAAGTGAATTCCACAGTGAATCTCAAGCGAAAGACAACATATTGTATAGGAATTGGGACATACCTTTTATCGTCTATAGATAGATAGATAGATAGATAGATAGATAGATAGATAGATAGATAGATAGATATGAACATTCTGAGAAGAATCAGTAAAAACAATATCCTTTAAGTTATTCAGCTAGGAAGGTAACAGGTTTGAATCGATTTGTGTCAGTCTCAGGCCTTCAGCAATGGTACCAGCATTCATACTCTGGTTTCCATCAATGTCCATTCAAGAACTATCAAGAGAACGATGAAGTTTAAAAGAGATGGATCAGTAGAGAGGAAAACTGATTCCGCAGGTCACAACAGGAAGAGGGATCATCACCTCAACTTAGAGATAAAGAGATCAATTAGAAAAAATTGAATACACTCAATAAGACCTTTGGCATTTGAGGGAGAAGTTTCAGCTATGACAGTCCAAAGAGCAGTAAAAAACAAAAAAAAAACTTGAAAATGAAAATGTGCGTGAAACATATGAGGCACCTTGTTACTCTGGGACAGAAAGTTTGAAGGTCAGAGAGGATGAAGATCATCTTCAATAAGTTGGAAAATGATCCTAAAATACTATATATATATATATATATATATATATATATATATATATATATATATATATACTTTTATCTCACTACTTTATGAGCTTCAGATATTAGCTATGATTAATTGGTGACGGATATGTCACTTTCGTTTGTGATCGATTTCCTCACGATTCTTCTTCTGTTAAGCTTGGAAAGTAATTATACATTCTCATTGCTCAGATTAGAGTCCAATAGTGTTATAAAAACCTCGGAGAATTCCAGTAAGATATATTTAATCATTTGTAAGATACAACGGTTCAGAGCTTAATCTATCAAATGGACAATTTTGCTTTAACTCCATTTGGACAACTTTGCTGTTACACTTGTTATATGAACAAATTGAGATAGATAGATAGATAGATAGATAGATAGATAGATAGATAGATAGATAGATATGAACCTAGTGAAATAACAATTAATAAACTCAAATAGATAACCATAAGCAGATTAAGATAGCTACAAACATACTAAAATCAATAACTATGGACATAATGAGAATAAAATGAATGAACATAGATAGATAGATAGATAGATAGATAGATAGATAGATAGATATGAACAAAACGAAGTTAGATAGATAGATAGATAGATAGATAGATAGATAGATAGATAGATAGATAGATAGATAGATGTGAACAAAACGAAATTAGATAGATAGAGAGGCAAAACAGGGTCAAATAAAAAAAATGAGTACACAGATGAAAAAGAAAAGACTCGTAGAGATAGATGATGAAGGAAAGCATGATAAATAGACTGATTGTCTGAAAATAGCAAGACATTTTCTAACAAAATGCAACTAACGTTTCTCTGGAAACCTTATTCAAAAATTATTCGTTTTTTTTTTCCCTTCCCTTAATAAAACGAACAAACTTTTGATGATTAGCAAATCAATAGATAGTACTTGTTCGCACCAAGCGAACTCGAGTGAAATAACAGCGGCAAATTATAGTGCCTGACAAAATGTTGTTAGTCAAAAGATGCAAAAGGAAAGAAGAAATATTTTTTTGCTGTGAAAAAAATAAGTGGGTGCAGCGCAATGAAGTGGAAAGCTTTTGATATCAGGAAACGTGTAAATAACTAATCCTTACCTACTACATTAGGAGCCAAAAACGTTCAAGAAAGGCTATAAAAATTTTATTCATATTTCCGCCATATTTGGGTCGCTTTCTTTTATACTAATTTATTCTTGCTTCTGAATTTGTTCCTTTTATGTAGATGTCGATATATAGTCTCTTCTATTTTCTTATATATATATATATATATATATATATATATATATATATATATATATATATATATTTATTTATTTAAAAATATGATTCCAACGCTACATAAGAGTTCTCATGTTTCAAAACAAGAGCCAAAAACTTCAATATAATTGTTTGAATTAAATTTAATTAAAGTACTAAGCTCTGTTTCATCTTCAAGCGAAACTTTTTTTTTTTTTGAAAAAAAATATATATATAATTAAAAATATATATATATAATTATTTAAATTTTTTTTTTTTTTTTTGGAAAAAAAAATATATATATAATTAAAAATATATGTATATATAATTATTTTTTAAAAAAAAATATAACATAAATATGTTATAAAATCACGACAAAAATAGCCATTTTGTTTCAACACCCCTGGTGTCTTATCAAGTGTCTTATTTTTGTAGTGATTTTATAACATATTTATGTTATAATTTTTTTTTTAAATAATTATATCTGTTCTACTTTTGTATTGAGCACTCTTTTAAGAATAGTAATTGTTGGTTATTGGAATTTATTCCGTATACACCAATTACATACTTGGGTATATATATATATATATATATATATATATATATATATATATATATATATATATATATATATATATATATATATATGCTCTGACCTTTTGTTATAAACAGTTTAGCTTTTACGACGTGCACGAATAAGGACCACCACATCTCCCTGTCCTGTTTAGATGCAAGCAACGTTTATCTTGCTAGTCTTCTCTGCTATTTTTTTTTACTCAAAGCCGTTATCGATTCTGCCTTCATGGTGAGAGCATAAGGCATACGACAACATTACACCGATACTGCGTTTCTCGTACGATCTCTGAAGTTAAGCAACGTCGAACCTGGTCTGTTTGAGAATAGCAGATGGTATACGGTCGGATGTGTAGGTATTAATATCTTAGATATACTCGTAAAAAATAGAGAAATATTTTTCGAAAGAATCTTTCCACATCAGCATACTTTAGACCTTCCAAAGGCAGTGAAATTTTCCAAAATCGAATACAGGATATGCCGAGGAGGCTGGACGGCTGTTGACCTATTTTGGTCCCATGTATGCGTGGGACTCTCACTTTAAACTCAACCCTGTGTCACATTCCGTGCAAATGAGCGTTCTCTCACATACTGATGCATACGACGGCAACTGACAATCGGAAAGAAAAGGAAATTAGCCAAATCAAAGATATGGTTAACGTGTACACCTTCCTTCTTAAATAGACGAGACTAGCCTATTTAAGAAGGAAGATGCGTAAAAATATAGGGAAATATTTTGTAAATAACTTTTCCACGTATTCCTTAGACTGCAACATTTTCCAAGATAGAAAAAAAAATTATCTGTTTAGGTGTCCTGTACATTTACAAAGTTATTGAAATTAGCTATGTGATGTAAGAAAATACACTGTTTTTTTTTGTGAATATTGCTTAAAAACGATTTGTTTTAAATAAAGAACAAGTGGATATAGTTATTTTTAATTAAATGGGGCTTCCGACCATAACACTTTAAAACACCGGTTCTTTTAACTTCATCCACGTTAAGCAACGTTGTTTCTGGTCAATATCAAAATGGGTGACCGTTTGTGAATACCAAGTACTGTGAGCTTAGTGTGCGGTTGGTGTAATGGATCAAGCGAACTAGAGTAAAATAATGGCGGCAAATTCTAGTGCCTGACAAAATGTTGTTAGTCAAAAGATGCAAAAGGAAAGAAGAAATATTCTTAAAAGGAATTGGTAACCGGAGAGTAGAGTTCCAATTATAGTTGGGCAGCTTATATTCGCTTACGCGCAAATACCCTAGGGAAAAGTATGAATCCACGTCTTTCCTAACACTATAGGTCAATTAGTAAGACTATTATTATCTAAACATATTCTTACAATCTAAAAATATTTCCTTCACTTTAAATAACCAGCAAATGGTTGATTCCTAGCAAACGAATCAATCAATCAACCCTGCGAGTATCAGATTTTCCCAGATTTTTTTCTACATTATGTGTCTCCAAAGTTTATTATAATTAATTAAAATTTATGCTGATTACAAGTAAAAGAGTATTTACTTTTGATTTTCCTTAAAACTTCCTCGTTAGCCACATGTTCCTTCCACGGTATTCTCAGTATCCTACTGTAGAACCAGATCTGTGTTGCCTCAAGTCACTTCTTCATTTGCGAAGAGATTGTCCAGTAAGGTTGATTATTATTGCATAGCAGTTCATCATACTTTTTTTTCTTTCTTAACTTCTAACGAAATTTTCTTGTTTTTTAATACTTTACTTAGTTTTAGAAGGGCATATTTGGCTATTTCCATGCGCCTTCGTATTTCTGTTATATTTTCCGCTGTCTGTTACTACACTACGCCTCTAACACTTTTCCTATGCGCTTTCTGAATTCTGTCTCGACACTACCGAGACTGTTAAATTTAAGTTGATTTTGACGTCCCAAATACAAAACATGCAACTTTAGCTGTCCCTTTTGCTGACAAGCGTGCATCTCTGCTTGGAAACGGAAAGAAATTGTATATTTTGTCGAAATTAATCCTACCTGTGAAATAATGATTCTTCTTTCTTTTTAGGTGCCGTGTCTTTTCAGGACGTAGGCGATCATGGCCCTCCACTTCCCTCTGTCTCTGGTGGCTCTAAACAGGCTTTGTACTTCTGCCATCTCCCCCAGACCACGTTCCGCTATCCACTTGTCCAAGCCTGTCATGTAAATCATCCGCTGACTTCCCATGTCTCTTTTTTTCTTCTGTTCGTCCCGTGAGTATCAAATTCTCCAGACCCTCCTTTCTCATCTCGTGTCCCAGAAATTTCATCTGCCTCTTCCTTATGTTAAGCATATGTAAATGATAAGTTTGCAACAATAAACTTTCCCTTATTTCATTGTTATCTTTATCCAATGAAGCAATTCGTAAAATTTTCAATTTTAATATAATTTTATTTTCTGTTTTTTAATCAATGCAAAAAAATACAAAAATCATGCCATTATAATCGTGGTGAGCGTGGACGCAGACAGCATGTTATTATTATTAAGTGGTTAATTGAACTCTGAATTTCTTTATTCTTCAAGTTATGTTGCTTCAGAAGTATGGATTTTTTTTAAAATAATTTAATCCTAAGCAAGAAAATAAAGCCACTAAGATATAACGAATTACTGAGGGCAAAACATTAAGGAGTGAAAACAATAAAAGAAGAGGAGTCAACGATTGACATTGGATTAAAATTTTCGAAGATAAACTTGACTGGACAATAAAAACCAGAAGAGAGTTCCACAAGCGAGGAGTTCGAGAAAAAGAAAATTTTAGGATAGATCTTACGGTTGCATCTATTCAGTTCATCTGTAAAATAACGAGACCTTGTTGTTAATCTAGTACTGTGGTTAAGTTCATAAAGTTTAGACACCATAGAGCAAAGTTCATCAGAACAGTCATCATTTATAGAAAAGACACAGGGAAGCTACATTAAGGCAATGGAAAAGTGACTGAAGGATAGATGCCAGGTCAAGACTAATGACATTGCAGATTCATGTTTCGAGTTAATCAAGAATCTCTAAATATACTGAATGTAACAATAAAATTGTCCAAATCGTGTAACAGCATGCGATAATTCTCCATCCCCCAAAATATTTAATATCTAAAAACCACTAAACTAATTGAGATTTTTTCCGGATTTCGGATAAGAAATTTAGCCATCTTGACACCGCGTATCGTAAGAAGCGCTGAAAAAGACTTTAAGTAATTCAGTTAGAAAGAGAACAGGTTAAAACCGTTTTGTTTCAGTCCCACTATGTCTTCCCAACAGAACAATGGTGAGAAGAAAAAGATCATTCTGGACTTCAGTAATGGTGTAAATATTCATATTCTGGCTTCCATCTTCAAAGTCCATTCAAGAAACACCAACAGAACGGTGAATAAGTTCTTTAAAAGAGGGAACGGTAGAGAGGAAAACTGGATTAGGACTTAACAACAGTAAGAGGGATCATCATTTCAACTTAGAGCTAAATACATTCTTATTTTCAAAATAGACTCCAGTAGTGTTATAAAAACCTCAAAGAATTCCAGTACGATTTCTTTAATCATTTCTACGATAAAATGGTTGATAGCTTAATCTAACAATTGGACAATTTTGCTATTACACGATTTGGACAATGTTGCTGTTACATACGGTATATTAGGAGCGCTAGGAAAAAATAATGTTTCAAATAAGCACACACAAATAAAAGATCACTTTCATATTTGAGATTTGTAAATAAAAGCTATTCCAATAAATCTTTAACGTTCAAAGATTGATTTCATACTATAATGATATGATGAAAACGTTCCCCGATTTGTAAAATGATAGAAAACATCAATATTTTTTCCGATTTTAACAAGTCTCAGGACCTAAGACATGCCCAAGGAATATAAATGTAAAAAAAAATTTTTTTTTTTTAAAATCGTTTTTTCACATGTGGACCAGTCTGTTTAAGTAGTACCCTACATCCTGCTTCAAATAGTCATTTTGCCC